CCTCCGCCCCCTTCCGCCCCCTCCGCCCCCAAAAAAACAAATTCACAGACAATTTCTCTCGCTAAACGTGTTATTTAGGAAATAAGTGCTCAGTTTAGAGTTACAGATTCAGTCCAGAGAGCCAAACGTCAGCGTGAGCACACAGTTTGTTAACCGAAAAGCACCCAGCGCATTCAAGAGACTCTGGCAAGAAGTCCACTGAGATCAACAAGAAATCTATCCTTCTAATTAAACTCCAAACGAATTTCATGCCAGAACATGTTGAAGCGGTTGTAGTTGCAGGCCAACAAAGCTGAAGTTTTCCAACAAGTTGGATTGTTTAAAAACGAAAACATCGTTTAGACTGATTTATTAGGGCCATAGAGGAGGTTCAGTTCCAACTTCAGGGATATGGGGACTCTCAAAGCATACCTACATGATGAAAATAGGCGTTTGGTGAGCAGTTTCAACCTGACGGATTGTAATCACCATTTTCTTTAATATTATCTCGAATTCCGAAATGTAAGCAACAGTATTACTGCAACTATTTATATAGTAGACGATGGAGGAAGAACGTCGGTTTGTGTTTTTATCCGGCAAGACCGTGCTCCACGATTTTTAATGGCAGCAGTCCATGAGGCTTTCGGAGAAGAACGTCCAATTGACGTGGGCTTATGGCCTCCCAACTTATCAAATCTGTCAACCTATGAATTTTATTTGTTGAGCAGTTTAAACAGTGGAGTATTCTGTAACAATCCATGTACAATTTAGGCATTGAAAATGAGCATCACGCATCACCTGAACTGGCAAAAGTTTCCTAAAACATCTTGAGATGTTACGTTTCAAAATTTATAATGCAGATTTCCAACACTTGCTGTCCCTTGTATTCAGAGAAATCTGAACCGAACTAGACGAAGCAAGGCATATGAAATCACATCGCCGCTATTGGAAGTCGGTAAGTGAGTAATAAATGAAGGCTCAGAGGAGAACTCTTTCAAAAATCTCAATGAGTGAAGTTCCAATGGAAAAAGCGATCCTTATCCTATTCGACGGAAGTTATTTATAATTAGGCATATATTTTCAAATAACCCTTAACAAACCTGTGGTAACACCTCAATTTTTGTATGATTTTATGGGCTAATTAGCATAGATTCTTATGGTCGCCAGCATTTTAGGATAATCATAGTTGCAAGACGTTGGATCTCAATAGGTTTTCAACTTTAAAAATGCCGCTTTCAGCCAACACTTCGGCAATGGGAAGGTTCTGTCAATCACTGCGTCCGAGCGACAGCGATCAGCCTCCACTTATGTCATTTCTGCATAGAAGGACCTTTCGACGCACATTTCCGTTGCGTCTTACTTGATTTGAGAGATAGATTGAACCCCGTAGCTATTTCCTGGAGGAAGCCTGTTGGCAATTCCTTTCACTTCCAAAGATAGAAGATAATACAAAGGAATAACTAAGTACAATTTTATTAGCTACCTGGGTGGGGATTGTTTTGCTCGACATCTCACCATGTTCCAATTGGGTCGGTGAGTGCTGTATTTGGAGTTTTCATCGGTTTGCAATTAGATATCACAATGTTGGGAGGTGGGGGAGGGAGGGGGGGGGGTTGTGCAATGTTTCATGATTTTATATATATATATATATATAAGTTGTGAGGATCTAGAAAATGCTTGTCGATGCGTAGAGCCGTCAAAGTCTACGAGGGACTCGAAGCTCCATTTGCGCTGCTGCCAAGATTGAAGGAGAAGGGAGAGCCAGCAGTATTGCTGGGATCGTTGATGGGCGCAGTTGGCGCTGGCACACTGGGCCTGTAGAGGGGCCAGTAAAAGGATGGATTCGATAACTGCGAGGGAAATGACAATGGACTTGGATTTTGCAGTTGGGTGGGATTTGTTGATGATCCCTGAATGGGTGAATTTGCATAGTCGCGCATTTCCGACGGCTGTTGGCCTTGCTGTTTCCTTTGACCTCGTATGCGATTTCTCTGGTTGTTGGTCACTCTTCGCGCTTGGACACAAACGTCTGTCATGCAGAGGCTTATTGAACCATTCTTCAAGTTTGGATGGCGCTTCTTTATGTGTGCTACAGATATGACAAAAAATAGGAGAACATGGCTTTCGTAACCCTGACAATTACAATTTCAACCCCTTGTTATGGTATTTCGAGAAAGGATAGTAATGAGGAAATGATCGACAAACGATCAAATTTGGACAACACATAATTTGACTTCAACATGTGTTAATTGCTGTTGGATATGGATAAACAGGATATTGTTATTTCATGAGTTAATAGCACGCAAAAAATTTCCGTTAGGTCAAATCTAAGATAATGTGGCAAATTCGATGTTATGTATAAAATGACAGAACAGCACATTTGGCGCTCAAAATGTGCTCAAACCTTGAGAGATTGCGTGTCACTAGCTTGCCGGTGAGTACTACAATACAGTTTGCATGACACGGTGGCCTGTTTGAGTTAATATGCATTTGATGCTAATCTCTCACCTCCCTCCCCTCCCTCCCTCCCTCCCTCCCTCCCTTCCCTCCCCTGACCCCTCTAACCCAAACACTCAAAGCACATTGGAGTGGCATTAGCCGTCATCCATGTTCACTTGATAGCCACAGCTCCTGCTGCTACCTCTGCTGCTGCTGCTGCTGCTGGTGGTGGTGGTGGTGGTGGTGGGGTGCGTGCGTGGGTGCAGGTTAGGTGTGTTGGAAGAAGAGAGAGAGGGAGGGAGAGAGATGGAGAGATGGAGGGAGTGAGAGAGATGGAGAGAGAATGATGGCTGAGAGATAAATAACTTGGACACGCAAGTCATGTTTTACTTTTGCCCGTGGCATAGTCTAATCACTACAGGGCTCCAATCTTGCATTATTTAGGCTTACTTCCAATTGAACTGTTTCATAGAAACTCACACACTGTGATGAGAAGGGGTGTGTAGTCCATCGCCTGTCTGGGAAGGAGAATCGGGGGGGGGGGGGGGGGGGGGGGGGGG